AAATCGCACCGAATTTCGCCGCGCAACTCGCCGCGCGCATCCAAAATCGCACGAATCGCAACACACCCGGTTCCATATACGGCTTTCTATGAACCTCGGCATGATTGTTATTGACTTTGTTGTTGTTGAACTCTTCACGAGAAACGGCAGCCTAATAAAGGTCATTTAAACACCTCGTGAAGAGTTTAAGACAACAACAAACTGTATTAACAGGGTTCCTGTACTGGACTACTTCGTTTCTGTCCCAGCTTCACCAAGGCTGATGTCCCGATAGGTATGCTACAAAGAATCCGCGTTCCCTCAATGAGCTCTAGTTTGTTGTAGCGACAAGGGGCCCACCTATCGTATGGAGACGGATCCCGGCTCGTTACCATCCCTGGCCAAATAAGACCAGATCCCGGATCGTTACCCGCTCTGGCTAAATAAGGTCACGCCGTTATATTCTATCCCTCTAGGGTCGGCTAATCGGTAAAGACTCGTCTGAAAGGATAAAAGCACAAAACTGTACAACGGCCGCCTCCATTTCTTTGTAAATGCCGCCAACGCATTCTTAAGACATTTCAATTCTGAAGGGAAGTTGAATAAGGGGCGCATCCCGAAAACGGGATAATTCTATATAGGAAAAAGCGGAATAAATAGAAAGCTGCATGGTCATGGAGGCACGAAAAAGGGTTCAAAACAGGTCAAAGAAAGGTGAAAAGAACAGGCTGGAGGGACCTAGTGGACATCCTTTCGGGAAATTACCATTCAGGTGTACTTATAGTAAGTAGTTGTAAAATACGTACACAGCGAGTGGCACCTTAACTAAGTAGGAAGCTAACACAACCCAAGTGGCACGGGAAGTATGGAAAGGAGTGTTAGAAATTATTCGGGGGGTCGAGCGGCAAAAGATGAAGGAAACGGCTGCTAGAGCGCCATTATAAACAGGACTTTCAAGCATAATCGAAGGAAAACTCACGGAAAGAAGAAGATTCATACCGATTCAGAAAGTGATTTGATCGGGATCCGCAAAACAACCTTTACATTCATTAGATACGTATTGATCGACTACGCCCTCGAAACATCACAATGTATAGAGATACGTATCTATTGGCCCACTCAGCTCCGATACCCTCTTAATCGATACGTATCTAGTGTTGGCAAACGATAGGAGGTTCCACACTTTCACGTTCTAATGTCTTCCCAATCGTCATCAGTAAGCTTTTGGCAAAAATCCAACGGAATATGCTTAAGTAAATGACGGGTTTGGGCATAGGAAAGCATGAAGATTTTGCGGGGTTTTCCCGTGAATTTCGGGCGAACAAAGGCACACGACAAAGGCGGCTTGCGCGACCTTGATGGGTGGTCGTAGACGGGATTCATTTTATTGCCTTTTTTCTATTCCTGCCCAGCTATGCACCATTTCTAGCAACTATGTAAATTCTTTCTCCCAACGTCAAGGATTTGTTGGTATCGCCTCGAGGTAGCCTACGATGAGTACCCACTCCAAATCCCCCGACAGTAACACCTAATAACGCTTGAAGCTATTCCCTTTACTCAAAAAGGGTTTCCCGATCATCAACGATGCCACGAGAGCGTTGCAACGACCGGGAAGGGCAGTAGCAGGTGTGGCCGAGTTTACATGTACTTGAGGAGGTCCTGAGTGGAGGCCGAGTCCCTTTAATGTATAAGTTCACTTCACCTTTCCCGCAACTTTCGAAATCCTGCAATTGATGGCTGAAACCCGTTTTCTGGTCGGATTTGCTTTCATTTAGCGCCATATTTTGCCCAAACCTGGATTTTCAGTAGAGGAAAAGCTCGTGGGGATATTCGTCACTTTGCATCACCGGTGTTGTGTTCTGTGTGTTGGTTTTTACACTATTTTTGCGTCATCTTCGTTATTTCTAAGGAATTCAAATGTTACGATTATTTAGTCCTTAGCCTTATGTCTATTGTATGTTATTAAGTGTAATTGGTGTTTATTTACCGACGAGTGCTTGCCATCCTCCCGTTTATGCTGGGTTCGATGCTTTTTTGGGAATATTACGCCCCAATTTCAGAAGTTTATGAGTTTTAGGGTAATTTTTTGCTTTCGCCTTGACAGTTCTTCTTCTTTTGAGGAAATATCAGTCCCTTGTTTACTTCTGAAAATTTTCTTTTCGTCTTTCGTAGTTTCGTAGTTCAAACCATTTGATTGGAGCAGTTTAAGTTAACGAACGTTTTCCTATAGCCTTTCTGTAATTGTAATTTGTTTGGCTGTAACGATTTTGTTGTTAACCCCATTTTTCATTTGAGAACAGCATAAAAAGCTGATTGGAAGCAAAGCGGTTAAAGATTCGGTAGCAGATGTTGTTTTTGATGTGGGAAATATCTGTTACTCTGCCCTTTCCCAACAGTGTCATAAAGTTATTAGCATCATGGAGGTCGTCTTATCTTTCTGATTTATGTAAACACTGGCAATGTATCATTTTTGGTGAGATGAGAAGGTCATGATCGATTGCATGATGTTAAAGTCTCTCGTTGCTCAGAACTTGATACGGTTTACAATAATCTGTGAATCGTTCAAGCGTGTGCCTTCGATTTTGCTATTATAGACTCATATTTTAATCTTAGATGGTGCATGATATTTTCAATCAATTCGATCTTGCCCTAGGTATTAGCTCTCAAGTGAGCATTTTCGCCTTATATGGGCAAGATGATGGACTTTGAGTTCTACCGAAATAATCCGCCTCCTCCTATCCTCAGCATAGATGTTTTGTCGCAATTTTCTCGTAAGTTCGATTTCTCATCTTATTCCGAAGTTGCATCCATAGGAACTTTTCTTTGTTGCTGTGTTCTGTATATTTACTGATTTTTCGCGTTTCCTTTTGCGTAAGGAAGCAGGTTTCCTTCCTTTTTCTCAAATTTAGCCCAGTCTGTTCAAATGACAAAAAATTGGAAAGGATTGAGAACTAGTTCCTTCAATTCATGAATGCAGACAAATCAGGGCAGGGTTTTTAAAAGAGGTTTGAACAGAACGAAAGGACAGTGCCTAACCATGCATGAAAGAAGAAAGAGCTCAAAGGTGAAGCTGCAAAGACCAGGCATTCATGGCTGGGTAGTAGGGGGCCATTGTCCTTCTGCAAACCGCTCGTAAAAGTATAGATATTTGCTGGATGGGACCTTCAGGATTTCAGCTGTAAGAAGTATAAACGTGTCGCACTTTTATCGACTTGCTACTCGTAAAAAAAAANAAAAAAAAACAAGCACCATTTCCAGGATTTCCCGCAGACTTGGAGCATAATTTTTTTCAAAATTATACGCAGAAGGAAAATTCGTGCTACGAGCGACAAGAAATACCACAAATTGCCAATTGCATTACTGTCGCTTTTGATTCTCTCGGAAAAGTCAATAATTGAGCACTATCACCACCAAACCGCATACGTTTAAGATTATGTAATAGTTTGCAAGTTGTTTCAGCATGCCCATCTGCATCCACTGCCTCAGTCGCGTCGTTAGGTGCCGTTTCTTCAAATTCTCCCATCGAAGTGTCTGATTTAAACGGCAGCTCTGAAACTGCTTCTCAAACGGTTCAGACTGCTCGTGAGTTTTTTAAAATCTGAACTATTCCACAATTAGAAGTGAATTTCCAATCAGGATTGCTGAATTCTGAAGTTCTGAAACAGAGCAAATCCTTGTTTTTATGCGCAATTTCTCTAAGGTTGTGAATATTTGTTTCCAGTTTTAGTAGCCTCCCCTGATGCAATCCCTGGAATGACTGTGGATCAATCACCTACTGAGAACGATGCAAATGTACTTTGCTGTTTTGCCTTTTTTCTTGAAGCATTTTCTGTTTAAATAAATGTTTAGAAGGCACTCCTGCAAAACGTAACGCGATGTCAAGATGAGCTGGCCAGGATGAGCGAGGAATTGCAACAAGCTAAACAGAAGAGAGAGGAAGAAAGGAGGCTTGCTCGTGAGGAACCGCATGTAAGCAATGTGTTTCCGCGGTACTTTGAGTGTTATCAAAGGGGAAGCGAAAGGAACATATAAAACGCTGTAAACTGTTTCTAAAACTAAAACTGAACTGAACTGAAGAATTTTGGCATCATTGCTAAAGTTGCCTCTCATGCCGTTGTTCTCTGACAAGTTTTCCTTATCGGTGCAGGTTGAAGTTGAATTTTTTAGAAGTAGTGATTTATTAAGCTCACCAGTCTAGCGGAATCGTTTCTTGAAAAGTGCCCGTTAACTCTTGAACAGAATGTTCTCAAATTACAAGATTTCTCACTGAATCTTCCTGAAGCTGTTTGAGCGTGAAAAATATGGCGGTGATCAATAGTGCTTTCAAAATGAAAACAGCTGTGAATTTCTATCCTGCAAACTTTGGAAGCGAAGCTTGTTCGATTCTGCCTTTTCCATTTATAAGGGCTCAATTTCAGCGTGCCGTACTCGATGGTGTGGGCAAAACTGTATCATTATTACGGGGTGATAGAAAAGAAGAAGCTCCCATGAAGGAGAGGATTGTTCTAGATGCAAGAGGAGTACCAATTTCGCAGTCACGTCGACGTATTAGGAGTAGTTTTGGTGAGTTGGTTGTTCCAAATGTAATCTACGTATCATTGAGGATCCCCAAGTTGTTTTGTAGGGTAATATCTTTATATTAAGGAGGAGGTGCCGTCGTGATACCTGCATCAGTACAGTCTACATTAGATCTAGACTTGCCACCTCTCCCTCCCAGGCCAACAGATCCAGCAGAAATACGGAAGCTGGTGCGCAGCAAAATGATCCGTTGCAAGGTTTGGCTTTTCTGCATTACCTTGTGTTACTGAAAAAGAATCTATATAAATATCGTTGTTTTCTAAGGTGTGCAACAACCGTTTTGGGCAGAGGAATCTTCTAGAGCGTCATTTACGTGATAGGCATCATGTTGAGTATCTCGAGTACATCTATCAAGAAGAACTTGAAGTTCAAAGACAAAGGTTTGGAAATAGTTTTTCAAAGCTATTTCTTCTGTGTTTAAGTACATGATGCATTATTTCGATCAAAAGATATTTTGCATTGTTTTAACTTTTTTAGGGAAGAAGAGTTGGAGAGGAATAGAATTGATGAATTGACCTCAGGCGGTTTCATTCCTCCTCAGTCTGAGATAGAATCGAACAGCTACGAAATTGACGTGCGAGAGTGAGTCTTCGATCAAAATTATTCCATTTTGAATAAAGTTCAATGTGTCCCTTATCATATCTCCTGCTTTTTCTAGCATACCGCTTCCCGGTGAATTATCAAATGGGATTGTAGCAAGGTTTGATGCTAATGGCTACCTTCGCCAACCGAAGCGCTCATTTCGAAAGAAGGTACTTCATATTTCTTGGGGTACCTATACTTCGATTAGTAGCTTGTACTATTCTCTATTAAGGTTTCTCCTCAATGTCCATTCTGTGACAAGAGGTTCAGGAATGAAGTGTCCTTGAAGAAACACTTTGTTAAAAAACATCCGGAGTCTGTCGAATTTGTGCAGTGCCTTGACTGCTTCAAGTGCCTTCCAGACAAAAGTCATCTGGCAGATCATGAATGTGATATGGTACGTACAACATTGGAATGTTTTTGCATCGCACATCACCTTCCGTTCAATATAATGAGATTAATTTTCATTTGTATCTCACTTTACCTATCTGAAATCTTTCTGGAGATGGTTTTCCATGACGGAGCTCGCTACTCCCACATAAAATCTATTAGAATCTCATTACCTTTACATCCGACCGTCTAGAGTGGGGTTTTGAAATTGCACTTCAGCAGCAAGAGAAAGAAGATTAACTCTTTTAAGCTTGGAAACTATGTTTCGGAATAACAAAGAATTTCGTGCTTGCTTACCTCACGAGAGTCTTGAGATCTTAGCAAACCCTGATTTGTATTTTATTCTCTTACGACTCTACTTACTTGGCTTTAGACGTGGTTGTGTTTCGAATGCTCTCCTATTCAAAATATGTGCACGGAGCAACGCTTCAACAACCACCGTGCCAAATTCCATCGAGGCGCTAATTCCGGCTTCAAATGCAATGAATGCAATCAGAAGTTCCTCACTCCAAGGAAGTTGAGGTATGTGTACTGGAAATGCTTATATTTCGTAGATTGAGCATTCGTTCCAGTAAGAGAAGCAGGGCTGAAATCTTTTAGAAAACACAAAAAGATGTCCCACATTTTTGTTAAAACCTACGCCTGCCATTTTTGCGAGGAACTCTTCACGAGCGAAGTATCGGTAGGTTTCAAGTCAAAAGTATCTGTTTCTTACCTTCATCAAATGCAATGTATTGTAGGTGATGACGCATGAGCGAATTCATACTGGTATAATCAAGTTTGAATGTAAAATTTGCGATTTCCGGTGTAATAGATATATCCAAATGGAGAACCACAAAAAGGTTTGTGAATCTGCTGCTGTATATGTTCAGTTTATTGGTCCAGGGTGTAGCTTATTATTTATGGATTGTGCAGTGTAGCTTATGAGCATGTCTCAATTACTTTCATGGAACGAAAGCACTAGGGAGAGTTTTTTTTAACCAAACAAGTGGGGGCTCACTGTCAGTAATTTTATGGTGAATTCAAATAGGTAAAAATTCCGATTCATATCTGAACGCCGTGATGCAGTACTTAATTTAGCAGGATTTAAGCCAAAGCAGGAGAAAGCTAGAACCCCTTTCATCTAGTATCAAAAATTTACACGCGTACTTCCTATCAATAGAGATCAGTTGTTCCTCAAGATGTCGTGCTTGGCTTTTTTCTGTGAATACGCTGTAATGGTAAACAATTCAAGTGCGCAATTCCGATACATTCCTCCTTTTTTCATTTTGCTCACCCGCGTTTGGCTACTTTCAGAGTTCGACGACCGTCCGTCCATCCGTCCGTCCGTCCGTTCAGCGCGTGCTGCGGCGGCGGTCGCTAGAGTAGTGTTGACAGCGCTGGCAAGTGATCCAGTGTGTCGACAACGGTCAGGCGCCGCCGTCGCAGCACGCGTCGAACGGACGGACGGACGGACGGACGGATGAATCGTTGAGGTCTGAAAGCAGCCTTTGAAGGTTTAAAGTTTTTTTCCTTTTATAATCCCTTTAACTCCTGGTGAGTCTTTTACTGACTTTGTTAAGTTCTGTGATTTTAAGCATGATATTAATTGCATTAAAAACGTAACGACACGCGTTGGTTCATGACAAATGCTGAAAGAAAGAAATTAACAGCGAACAAGCTGCTAAGCAGTCTTTTTACGAGTCTTCCTTTTTCAACTTATCTTTTTTTTGTTTCTGCAGGTTGATTTGCAAGTATTTGACGCCTCTTTTTCATGTTTTCTCTTTTTTACAAATTTGCGTTAGGCAGTCTTAGTTCCATCATAATCTTTACCGTTGTAAATTGGTTAGAGAAGCTCTCGAAATTGAACTCCTGCCTCAATAGGTTTTCGGTGTTATAGATGGCGTGGATGGTAAAAACTATAAGCGTTCAACTTGACATTTCTTTTTACAGGAGGATCATGGTTATCTCTGCTCCATTTGCCAGGAGAGCTTTGGAGAGTGGGCCGAGATCAAAAACCACACATTGTCAAAGCATGGTGGTTATCTCACCAGCGATACCTACACTGGTATAAAGAACTTTTTTATAAACCTCGACGTTGCTGTCTTGTTGATCATGTTGATCGCTCAATCGTTTATATCATTTGCTTACCTTGTTTTGCACAGCGCATTGGAATCCTGCGCGTGTCCATTTGTCGGATTTTGGTACATCGCGGTTTTAGGTAGCATTGGTGTCGGGTGATCGTTTTAACTACAATTTATTGTGAAGGTATTCTGACAATTTCAGCTATAGCTTTATCCATTACACAAGTTGAAGTCGGGATACGGCATTTGGAAGTTCCATTAGAAAAACGACGCAACATTGCGGACATGAAAACTGAGAGAAAATTTCTCGTGATTTTCGCATCACTAATTCCGGTTTTCTTCAGCGTTGGCATGAATAAAGGATATTGCACATCTAGTTGTAATGTTGTTTAAGATTGGTTTATACCGCTAGATCCCTTTGTGCTCGTTGATATTGCTTAGCCCTAATTCTCCGCTATTGTCAGTAATTGTTCTTTGTTTTTAGGCTATGTCGAGTCTCCTCGTGTTTGGGCCTTGTTTAAAGGAGATTGAAGAAACATCCACTACGACATTTATACACATACGTTTTATCCTCCATTTCCTTTTTGATTACCTCCGTGATATTCAGCTGCTGTCACTGTAGTGTCACGTAGTTTAATAGATTTATGTAGTTTTTTGCTAGCTCTTCAGTTAGTGGTTGTTCTTAACATTGTTTTCAGAAATACGGTATTTTCTTAACAGGTGTTTCTTTTTTTCTTGAGATCTACCGTGTGTATTATTACCAGTGGAACAACGGTTTCATTGTCACTTAACGCTTTATCGGTTCCGACGTCTGTACATTTTTTGGAACGCGCTAATGAAGTTTCCTGCGTTTCTTCAAATAATCATATTGTTTGAATCATTTTTAATACTGTCCTTAGAAGGTATTACAGAAAAGCAATTTCTGTCCTCTTGACTTCTACCTTGTACTTTCAGTGCGTGGAAGAAACGATATGACGACGGTCCGCTGGTTCCCTCGATTTTTGACGCATCGTCGCAGATCTCAAGGATAACGGTTCTCATCGTTCCAGCGCAAGCGATTTGTTATTAATGGCATGTTCGAAGTTTGATTTCGAAGGGAAAAAGCGGCGAGGACGCCAGTTTTTGTGTAACTTGGCGAGGTCGCATTTGCGTTTTCGCTTCAGCGAAGCTCTGCCAAGTCGTGTACAGAATGTGATGCGTCACGCTTTTTCCGAGGTACCCGAGATATACGATCGTAAGTGAGAAGTGTCTAAGTTGAATTTTGATGAATTAATATTTATTGAGATCATAAAATCTGTCAATCTGGTAGCATTGTTTTATGCATTGAATTAGCGAAGAGGAACATAGTGATTAGTTATTACTGTGACACGAGATTTCGACAACTCATCAGGACGTGAATTCATAAAGGCCATACTTCACACGCTCTTTTTTTCGTTCTCTTGTGGCACTTTGTGTTGTCCGTTAGGCTTTGAAGGGTGCTACCTGATATCGCGGTGATTGGGCTCCCCTGAGTGAGAGGATGCAACATTGCAATTGTGAATAACTGGCCAGGCTCCATATACTATACTATAGTAAAACTCAATAAAGTTGATAATTTCTACTGAAAGGGGGATTTAGGTGGGTATAGGTCCGATCAAGGATGTCTTAGACTGCCGAACATGTTTCAAACATTTTGAAAGTTTTAAGCATTAGTTGCTGTTATATATCAACAGATGCTACCCGCTATACTGTGTCCCCGTCAGCTCATTCTGCTGATCTGAAGGTGCGGTACATGATCTACCAAGTGCAATAGCTGTAATGGCTTAAATGGTCTCGAACGTCTGGTAGGGTAGTGGGACATTTGGTCGGATAGTCGTAGATTGAGTTCCTCCTTTCTAGACTCCAAAGAAGGCGAAGTCGCCGAAAGAGTAGCCGACGGATTTATTATCACCCACACGTGCTCATAAATCAAGTAAATTCTTATTTGGAAGTGTAGTTGTCAAGTGCTAGGGTAAAAAACATATAATGAATAAGCGAAGGTGGAAATTCTTTTAAAATTAAGTAATTGTGTTAGTACTTTTCATGATTACTCACTGTTCCCACGGGGAATGAAACGTTCGGGGAAAGGGCCCGGCGAGAACAAAGACATTCAGTCGATGCTGTTGATGATAACATGTGATGCCCTCGCTCAACCCACACAAAGGATGTTTATGTTGTGAACCGTCCGCGAGCAGTGGTAGCTCGCAATGCTTTTGGTGACTATTGAATCGAAGGGGTGTCCTCCCCATTCAAGCACATTCGTGTTTTTTGCGCAGTTTACATTACATTGCATGGTGGCCAACTACGAAGTAGAAAAGGAATGAGAGGAACAGGCCTAACAAGACTTGTACGATTCACTTTATTTATTCCTATCAACTTTTGATGTTTAGCGGTAAACAAATGACAACAGAAGTGTTTTTATGCTATCAATTTTTTTTTAGTAGCGCATTCTATCACTAGGCTATTGTCGGTTCTGATGAATTACAGTAAGGTGTAGGACTCTGTTACCTTAAAGGCTAGGTAGCGGATACCTTCGGTTGCTTACCTGAGGGAACTAAGGTGGCTTCGTTTGATAGCTCCAACATGTGGCCTTTATGGGTTTGGATCACGCTTTCAGATTTTTCAAGGTTGTTTAGAAAGTATTCTTCAAAAGATTTCATGTTCTTCTTGACTTGTTGGGTTCTTCAAGCTTACTAGGGTTCTCTCGCCCTGTCCTGGGAGCATTTCGTAGAAAAGTGATGAGCGTAGCAGTGAAAGCTTCCCTATTTCTCACCTACACCCTCCTCCTACAAGCCCCTGCCTTAAAAGATGTCTCGATTGGTTTCGAAATACTGTAAGTAAGAGAGAAGACCGTTCTGGAGTAACCGGAAATTTGTAACGGTTCAGTGTAAATTAGATGAGCATGTTGGTCGGAGCTGGTGGAACTGGATGGCAATGGAGTCCCCAATGCCTTTGCTCTGGGTGTTAGTTCCATGGCCATGACTGTCTCGTCTTTGCTATTCGATAGATTCCCTGAAATTAGCGTTAATTACAAGTCTAAAGTTTGTGATAAAAAACGTGTGTACGTTCCTCGCTGGCTGGTACGACGTGCTATTAAGATTAGGAAAAACTTGCAATGGGTGGGTAGCGTCGGAGAACGAGATGTGCCTTTTTGCGCTCTGCTGTATGTCTAAAATTTAATCGAGGCAAAGCTAGATGCTATTGGAACGTTGTCGCCGTTGAGAACCAAATTAAGGTAAGCAGGTCTGGAAAGGCCACTAGGAAGCTGTAGAAGTGGTACGAGAACAGCGTCTTTTTGTCGATAGTGAGGCACGAAATCAAGTAAAACGAAATATGACAGAACTGAAAATACAGTGGTAGGAGTACAGTGATTAGCAAAGGCATTGCTCTCCCAACGGTGTAGTTGTTGGTATTTTTGGATGGGATAGGATATCAGGAAGAATTTCATCCGGATACTCGGTTGTGTTACTCTAGCGCTCCCAAGATCGCCACTTATGACCGATATTCTGTTGCACTAAAAAGCGGGAATGGGAGGATTTGGGTTGGGGTGTTCTAAGAGAATTAGAAGGAGTACATTCGTTTGTGTCGCATCTATCCTCGAAGCCCTTTCAAGCAGGTCTGTGCATGCCACGTTCATACCTCACAATCTTAACAAAAAGGTCAAATTTGGCCTTTGATCTGGGCTAAAGATCGTAATATTATGTACATACAAAAGAGTAGTATCTTTTCATAATATTTATACGGGAGCTCCAGAAAATCGCAATGGAAATATGAACTACTGCGAAATCTTTGGCATTTAGTTTCCGCATAACCTGGTAAACCCAGTGCAGCATTTGCCTCTATTCGCATTTGGGAGTTTGATTTCTGTCATCCGCGTACATCCTGTAATGATCCAAAATGTTTTCTTAGTCCTCGATGTCGATTTCATGTCGATAATTTTCCGGGAAAATGGCAGTGGAAGGATTTCTGTGGGCGCGATTTTCAGGAACACGGGCGAATTTCACTAGTCTTGATGGAACACAGCCTCAGAATACTGCTGAAAAACCAACATGATGATGATAAGGGTTTGGGTATGGCGACTGATGTTCCTTCCTTTGAAAATGGGAACAAACGGACCGACGTAGGAGTATGTGAATCGAGGGCCTGAAGATGACTTCATAAAGAGATGATTTGCGCTACTCTGTACCTCAAATACAAGCTTGAAAGATTTCAGAAGCTCTGTGGATTTTCTTCTTTGATAAAATGAATAAGTTGCTGTTAAAAGAGGTTTCCAGAATAATCAGATGAGACAAAATTTGGCGAAATAGCGATGAGTATGAGTGGTTGTGGAACAAACTAAGGGAGACTATGGAACTGTAGGTCTACGGTACAAGTTTCAGCAATCTGAATCGGTTTCTACTGTCGCAAGGAATGATATGGAAGATCATGAACACTAGAATGTTATGCGTTTTATCTTCCAGTCGTGGGTGACTAAACTGAAGGGGACAGGCGAAAGACTGAAAACAGTATAAATGGAGTTACCCAAAACTATTTTAATCGTTTTGTAATTTGTTTGCATTTCTATTACAAGGAAGAGGGCCGAACAAGCCAATCTAGGGAATTCACTTATAGTATCATGACAAAATTGTAGTGCTTTACCCAAGAGCGATGCTCATACGGCGACAGACAGAAAGAGGAGGGAATTTCGAGACTCCGACTCTGACTAAAATAATAACCAGATTGTTTCTATCGTAAGACGATGAAAGGTTGACAGTCGAGAGTTTAGACGACCTTCTGTAGCAGCAACATGCTCGGAAGCTAGATGTGTAGATCAATCAATGTATTAGCATTTAATGTAGCGAAGGATAAGATTTTCAAAATGCCGGATCAATGATGATAAAAATTTGAAAATTGGTTCAACTCGTCGTACGGTAAAAGCCTCATCGCTTCGAATACTGTGCTCGCTTTAGAAGGCGCTCCTGAAGCAGCCAGTGGGTCTGATGTTGAGCAGAGATGGGCGGTGTTCTAGTAATTTAGGAAGCCTTTTAGTGGAAGGTATGTATCAAGCAGAAATTGTCATCATTTCCGCGCCTTGCTTCAAGCTCTGAATCAGATAAGAGTT